TTTTGTTGACCTTTGTCCATGGAAGGTCCCTGCAAAATTTCATTGAAATTGGTTCAGGGGTTTTGGAGAAGAAGTCGAAAATGTAAATTGTTTACGGACGCACGACGGACGACGACGGACAAAAGGCGATCGCAATAGGTCACTTGAGACTTTGTCTCAGGTGACCTAAAAAATTTATAACCTTGGTTAAATCTACTTCAGAGATAGGCCCACTCGCAATCGTGATTATCACCTAATGAACAAGTCAGAATTTATCAGGAAAATTGCAAAGATCCAAATTGGTGTTTTATCATCAGGCACATGCACAACTTTGACATCCAGAAATTATTATTTTATATCAAGGCTTCAGTAGTGAGATTTTTTAACATTTATTAGTTGGTCTAGTTGAATTTTTCATAATCTGTCTGCAGGCACGGGCATATGTGTCTGGGGTATCACAGGGGCAAGACATGACCCTACATCACTATAAAATGATTGTCAGTTCATTGGCATTTTTTGCCTAATTTTACAGCCATGGCAAAGACAAGACATTGTTTGTTTGTAAAACATCTGAGTCTGATGAAGAAGATATTTTAACTTTTGATATTCCCCCATTTTGGTCCCATCCCTTGGCCTCCAGCCCGTGGGGATGGGGCAGGATCTTATTTTCTCATACCGTCTAAATGCCATCTGGCACCATAATCATTCCAACCAAGTTTGAATAATATCCTGCTAAAAAAGGACAAATTTTATACCAAAAAGTGTTATTTCCCTTTATAAACTAAAGCCAACTTTACCCCCACCCCAAATGAAAATGGATGGGGTTAATGAAATTGAAAAATAGATAAAGTGCGATATAGCCCCTGATGGAATTTTCATCCATGCATGGAATTTGATTGTAGTACATACAAAAGATAGGGCAGGAATCCCAATTTCAAATTGTAATACTTTCTTGCACCAAGGATGATTCTCACCAAGTTTGAATAAATTCCTACTAAAAATAGACAAAATATACCCAAAAATGTTATTTTCCTATATAAACTATAGTAAACTTTACCCTCTCCCCAAGGAAGAACGAATAGCTCGGGGGTCCTGTAATTTACAATTTAAGTAAAGCCCCTGATGATCTTTCCATCCATGCAGAGAAATGGACTGCAGTTCATCTGAATCTGGAGGGAAAAAAAAAGATTTCTGAAATATTAGTTAATTTTCCCTTTAGGGCCCTACCCTGGCCCCTGGGGTTTAGGCAGGAATCCCAAATTTACAATTTCATACCATCTTCCTCCAAGGATGAATCTCACTAAGTAAGAATAATTTCCTACTCAAAATTGCCAAAAGATACCTTATAGTGTTATTTCCCTATATAAACTATAGTTAACTTAACCCCCTCCCCAAGGCAAAACGAATGGCCTGGGGGTTACTGTAATTTACAATTTAAACAAAGCCCCTGATGATCTTTCCATCCATGCAGATAATTTGACTGCAGTACCTCCGAGATACGAGAAGATCTTTTTTGAAATATTGGTTAATTTTCCCTTTGGGGCCCCGCCCTGGCCCCCGGGGTTGGGGTAGGAATTCCAATTATACAATTTTGTAGCCAAGGATGGTTCTGACCAAGTTTGAAAAAATTCCATGCTCTGGTTCTTGAGAAGAAGTTGAAAATGTAAAAAGTTTACGCACGACAGACGACACACAACGACAGACGGAAAACGATCAGAATAGGTCAGTAATATCATTCCATTTCAATAAAATTAATGCTATATTTTCCAATTAATGTAGGAACAGTCTACTGTAAAATTAAGATAGAAAAATAACTGCAGTTGAGTATAACCCCTCTTGACTATATGACCCCCTCCTTATGACTACAAATTAAACATAGACCTTTGTCACTATAAAATGATTGCCTGTTGATTGTTTAACCCTTCTCAACAATGACCCCTCCCACAATATAGTTGTCGAAGGGGTGATAGTGGAGAGGGGTTCAATAATTAGATTTTAATTGTTTTAGGTCTGCTGTTATGACCTTTCAGCAGACGAAACATTAAATAATCAACTGGCAATTATTTTATAGTGATGTAGGTCTGTGTCTAGACTCTGTGATATATGGTAATACATGAAATAGTCTTCCTTACCATAAAGACATATTAGGACAGGAAAGACTTGTTCATATGTATTTGATTTTACATACCAGATGTCTGTGCCTGCAGGCTACTGAACAATAGTCTGATAGTACCCCAGCATCTGTCAGATCAGATAACTATCATCACTATACATGTGATTAACGACATTTACGCAGTACTTTTTCTCTAAACTTGAACATACACTTTTATCGATTCTAACTCACGACACTCGAATTTTACCAAATTATGAAATGTACACAAATGTCAGCTGTCAATGACTCAAGTCGGGAAATCCCCCCCGAGTCCAAAAGAATTCCAATGACGGGGTCCGGAACCGACAATTACCTATTTAGAACATGTATATTCACATATGAAGATATTTTCCAGTTTATCATAGCATAAAAGTGTAGCTCACCGGCCTCATTCAGAAGAGACAGCAACGTAAGCTTCCTCAATCTTCACTTTCATGACAACTTCGTCAATACACCACACACGGAAGTGACGTTTCCTGAATGAAGGAAAGATAACTCTGTGCGAACCATGAAGCGTGTGCTGTTCGTCTCAGCAAAAATTCCATTATCGTATTTTTGTAAAATTACTGCTCGACATGGCCACCATATACACTCCCATTTTTAGGTAGGTCAGATATGTGTATAAATGTAGATAGATAACGTTAATGTTACATTTTTGAAAGTTATGTCAAAACGTTACCAGTAATTAAAGGTTTCAATATTTCTTCTTAAGTGAAAGTCCCGCAAGATATTTAAACACAAATATATCCACGTGTATGATGTGAATGTTCTTGTAAAGAAGAAATTAAGTGCGTTCATCTTTTGTTCAGATGCTTAAATCGTTTACTGATTAATTAATGTAAGCATTGGAATGGATTTCTCTATAAGTTTTACTGATATGTTGCTCGAAATTCAAAGCAGTGTCTATATATGTTATTAGTGATCTCTGGGTTAGGAGGGGTCTATATATGAGCCAGTAGACCCCTCCTAACCCAGAGAAAACGAATTTGTCACCCTGACAGTCTTTTGGATAGTCTTATACCTTTTTGTGCAAAGTTATAAGTCACTTTGTGAGTTTGAGTTGTAAGGTGGCAATACCTAAATCGGATCACTTTTTGCAAAAATACTAATAAATAAATAAATGTGTCAACGAAACAGTTAAAGCAATGATATAGCCTTCAAATAAATAGCAATGTACCATTTTTTGTCTACAAATGATAAGTTTTTAAGTTCGAATAGCACACCAGAAAACGTATTTCAAACTCAAATGTTAGTGTTTTGATTACGTTTAACAAAAAAATGGTGCGTGCGACGACTATGCATTCTGTTTTGGACTATAGGAATAAATTCACACTATAGAAATACTTTTTGTCATATATGAACTCTATAGGTCGTCATGAAATGTTAATATGCTGACAAGAAATATTAATTTGAAGTGTGAGATACTTTAAAATTCAAGCCTTGATCCGATTGGGGTTCTGGTAGTGATGGTTTGGTGATCCGATTTGGGTCACCTTACTTGACTACTACCTATATAGCCCCAACCGGTGATCTTTTCGGCAACATTTCGGACAATACACAACCATTTTTGTAATTAGCACCCTAGCGGCCCCCTCATTGCCTGTTTCGTTAAATTTGCTGTCAATTAATTAGACTATTTTATCCTGTGAATGATTGGCACACTCGAACGCTTGTGTGTGTCGGACGCCATCTATGTTGCTATGAAGTGATATTCTAGTTTGAGTTATATCCCCTAGCACATGTACAGCAGGGCGGGGTCTATAGAAATATAGACCCCGGCAAGATATCCAATCAGAAAGAGTGTTACAAATTAGAAGGGTGACAAAGATGTTATCTTATAATCTTGTAAGCATTTTCGTATACCGAAATTCAAAAAAACCGTTTTGAACTAAATTATGAAAATATACCGCAGACGAATTCCGTTATTGATTTGTGATCCTACTAAACACACCTAATGATCTCTGGTAAAAAGAGACCATAGCCCATGTACCACGACACATTAACCAATGAAAACACATTTCTTTAAAGTATGAATTCACACGTTAGTATACAATGTATGTATGTGTAGTAGGACGAGGATTAGTGCTAAAGGTAGTGCCGTCGCTTGGGCTCAAACCCGCGACCCTAGGCTCTCCAGTCCGATGCTCTACCGATGAGAAAAAAATTCTACAACTGACGCTTGTAAGGCAACCTTATCAAAGCACATCTTTTACATATGAGCAGGCTTCGTAATAGATATATCTACTTAATGTTTAACAAGCCCTCTTACATCCTCGATACTACAGCTTTGCCTTCCAGTCCGATGCTCTACCGATGAGAGAAATTCCCTAAACTGACGCTTGTAAGGCAACCTAATCAAAGCACATCTTTTACATATATGCAGGCTACGTAATAGATATATCTACTTAATGTTCAACAAGCCCTCTTACATCCTCGATACTACAGGGGTTATCGCGGCTCACTTGTAGACGCTTTCTGCACGTGACGGGAGCGTTAGTGAGCGTAACCCATGGAGTATCGAGGATGGCCCTCAAACGAAATGTTATATAAAAAGGATGGAATGATCATCCTAAACTTTAACTATTTCAACCCGATTAAACTCCGAATCCATCATATCTTTTGGAAATTTTGGAACATGTATTATACATATGAAAATGGTAAATTTGAAAATCCCGAGGGTGAAATTTCCCTATCCTATACCCCTGGGCATGAAAGAGTATTTTGCTCTCATTACAATCACAAGAATAAGCTCAGAAACCATGTAATTGCGTTTGGACTGGCCACCATTTTCAAAATATCAATTTCACCCCTGAGCTTTTAAGACGAAAACAATACCAGCCAGCCAGATTTAGAATATCCCATAAGTTTGCATAGAAATACTAATAACATCTTTCTAACGTGAACGGTGAATCTATCGTTAAAGGATTAAATTTCATCCCGTCTCCTTTTCCGCATTGCGGCATCGGAGAGTTCCAAATTAGGGTCGTCACGTCATTGTTGAGCCATTGTGACGTCACGTCACGTGAAACGGGGTGTAAGTACAAACCCAAGGGATACAATATTGAGCAGGAGACCCGAAGGTTTGCCGAGGGTCTTTAGCTCAATATTTTATCCCGAAGGTTTGAACAACCTTATCCTCACCTCACATCAGGGATGGAATCTATTTCTTGCTTATTACCTAAAACCCGTAAAAACAGCTGCTCTTCTAGTAAAGTTGTAAAAATGTCTGCACGTTTCTCATTTGCATCAGTGACCCTGACTGACCCCAAAACGTCATAAAATGACGTCACGAACAATAGCGCGACCCAGAAAGGTCACTATAATCCACCCGCCAGTCTGCGCGTGTAAGCGATATAGACCCGTGGGTCGGATAGAAATTTCGAGCACCGCCGGAAATGCGGATATCTCGATCTAGTATGCAAGAAAGAAATTTCCTTCACCCCTGTCTTACCCTGGACAGCTCTATCTTTTACACAGGGAAATGAGAGAAAACAATATATATACAGGCTAAAGTACTAAAACATTAAATGACATATGTGTGGACTATGCCACAAGACAGGTGGTTGGGTCAGTACATATACCTACCTACCTAACTAACCCTATAACACCAAAGCAAATAAGGTTATTTATAATCGACTAATCATGCACTTAAAATTAGGAAAATATCAAAAGGTTTTTATTATAACAGCATAAGTGGTATCAGGGACGTATAATGGAGTATATACAGTCCCTGGTGGTATTAAATATATACAAATATGTCTTTAAAATTGACATAAAATGAGAGTACAAATCAAGATAAATAACAAATGATAAAAAGCCCACATTCACTGGCAGTGCGAAATCACTGAAATCATAATAGAATTCTGCGGTAATATTAGTCTCGATCAACCAGACTCTTGTAGTCTGCGCAAACTAGCCACGCCGAACAACAGAATTACAAGTGATCAAGCGTCTGGTTGAACGAGACTACGGTAATATATTTTAGCAGAGAGTGGCATTACAATAATATAATATACGTCTCTGAGTGTGGTAACAGGGGGTAAGTTAGTACTAATATTAATACTCGGCCTCCTCCCACCCGGCCGGGTATTAAATCGATCCAATGCCTTGTAATAGAGCAAGCCCGGTGTGAATCACATTGGGGCGATTTTAGAATTAATTGACAGCACATTGGTCCGCATCCATAAATAAGGTTGTAGTATGAACTATTTCTGTTGATATCCTGCACAACTTGAAGTTTAACTCTGCCTAAAATGTCGTTAAATTATCAAGTTAACGTAGCAAGCGCAATCGAAATCTGAATTGACCGCCATGTTGGAAAGTTCGTCTCTCTTCTGATATAGGTGATCATGATGATCAGACTTCCAAATATGGGTGTCACCATGACCCAATATGGAAATTGTAGTAAACACGGCGGCATCAGTAGTAATACGTTTGGTCATGCAGGCCATATATAGAAAGGTAATTCAGATAACATCACGCGTGATCTGTCATGGCGGTCGTTTCTATTTTTTTTCCCCAAGACGGATTTTGTTAATTGCGTAAAAGAGTTTTTGCATGGGTAAGGATTCATTTTTTTACAATTATGCAATATTTTGATAACATTATACTCATATGAGGTGTGAATTATATGTAATCTTACAGATTAACACTTTTGATTGTGCTCCATTAGTTGGCATAGGACCGCTTCGTAGCTCTGACGACGCAATATATAAAAAAAACATTCTCTCGTCGTCAGAAAGCTACGTTACCGCAGCTAGGGGTAAGTGACCTAAATCAATACATTGAATTTAAATGTTGTGCCATTGCATAACATTGCGGGGTGTTATATATGTTATAAACATTGTTAATGAAGTTTATGTTTATAACATATATGTGTCTAGCTATTCTTTGTATAACTGTATATGCTACGAAAGAACACTTTATGCAAATTATAGGTATTCATGACTGTCACAATAGGCCCTTTAGTTTTACAATTGTGTACCGATGAGATAAGTTATACCGGGACATTTGGCTGTGGGTATCGCCACTACCATGCTGGTTTGAATTGAAGCCGTGGGTATGCCTCTCAGCAGATGACACATTTGTATCTTAAAGGTTATAGACCTTAATCAAAATGAATGTTCTTATCCCCGTAAATAACGGCCCCACTCATAGGACAGCTAACAACTTGATACATATATATACCATATACATTTCATGTACCGGCCCCAGTCGACTATGTGTTCTATATATACATATATCTAGCGTATTGAATCTTTTCGA